CTTGTGATAACAAGGTAATAGGGCGATAGTTCGCTAGATCTTCTGGGTCACCTTTCTTTCTTATAAGTACCGTTTCTGATGTCAACCAAATCTTTGGAATTTCGGTGTTTTGTAGATATTTCGTAAATCTTTCTGCAAGCGCTTTATGGAGGTTCTCTCCACCCATTTTCAAGTATTCTGCTTTTATTTTATCATTTCCTGGACTCTTATCTGTTTTCATCTTGCTCAATGCATTTTTAACTTCCTCTTTCATTACTGTTGGTATTTCTTCTTCTTGAGCTCGCGATTTCTTCTCTGTTATCTGTATTTTTGAAGAATATAGATCATTGTAGAATTTTTCACATATTTCTTTTATTTCTGATCTCACTGATGTCGTTCTTCCAGAGTTATCTTTCAACGCATTTGGCATTTTTCTTTTCAGTGCTACATCTCTTTCTGCTTTTTTCACGCTTTTATGTGCTTCCACTACCTTCCTTAATCTTTCAGTGCGATATGCTTCACAATCAGCTTTGATGCATCGTCGTATTTCTTTACACAGTGATTTGTATTCTTCTTCGTTTGTTTTTCCTTCGATAATCCTGCGGGCTCTATCTGCCATTAATTGTTTTGTGTGATTTTGTATCCTCATTGTTCTTCTTGATGGGGCTTTTTCACTTGCTTCTTTAGCTGCTTCATTTATTTTCTTTACTAGGTCTTCATAGTCTTGATTAACATCATCACTCGTTATTGACCAATCCTGGGCTTCCAGCGAACAAACCGGATGCTAAATTGGCGACTGTATTTGATGTTCGAGAGTTTTCCTTCAGCACGGCATTTTCAAGTGAATAGTTTATCTTCACTTTTGTACGTATAAGCCGATGACCAGAGCCAATAGATGATTTTTTCTCCGATTACTGAGACATCTGAAATGATGCGCCTTGAACTCGTCATTGCATAATCTATCTGATTTTTTGTGGCACCATTCGGGCTCTTCCATGTCCATTGTCTTCGTGCTGATTTTTGGAACATGGTATTCATTATGTGAAGGTGATTACTGATTGCGAATGTTATTAGTCGTTGTCCACGATCATTTCTGTCTCCTATACCGTACTTACCAATGTATCTTTCATTTTGATTGATTCTACATCCCACTTTGGCATTGAAGTCCCCTTGTACAATCGTGTATGTTGATTTTTTATTCATAGCCCTTTCTGCTTCTTCGAAAAATTCTTCCAGATCTTCTTCTGCTTCTTCTGTGGGCTGTGCATTATTTGTGGCTTGAGCATACACATTTACGATTTTTTACGTTCTAGATATACGTATGACCAACACTGCCGTTCTTGGAGAAAAAATGTCGCAGCTATCGATGAGATTTGTTACTTGTTTTTTCACGATGAATCCGACTCCCCCTGCTTTCGATTCGTTGTCGCTAGCTCTTCCCAAGAATACCTGGTCTCCTGGATGCCGTTCTGCAATTAGTTCGTTACTGCGTCTTGTTTCTGATATTCCGATGATGTCTGCTTATATTTTTGATACTTCTTCGATATACTCTCTAATCAGGTAGTCCGTCGATATCGTTTTTGTATTGTGTGCAGTCACAAACAAACGTTTGACCCTTCCGTTAGACTTAAATCGTTGTCCATCCGGTCCGTTTTCCAGTTTCTTTGAATCCTGCCCATTTTTTTGATTTATCGGTTTTTTGGCAACTGTTTTCGCGGTTTCAGGTTGCCAGCCCTTGTAACCTATAGCCGCAGTTTTACCGTTCCGCTTTAGCCAGGTTGGCCCTAGGACTCGGATCCGTAACGTCATCCCGGCACCTACAGAAAGCCTGTCCGGCTCGGTTGTAGCTGCTGGAGCTCAAATCTCCGCCGGCATAGCCTTTCTGACTCGTAAGCACCCTTGTACTACGATGAAGTAGCGGAATCGGACTTGCAAGGGAAGCCACCAGTATTGATTATAAAAACCTCAACCTCAGGGTTTTGCACTCTCTAGGTCTTCCCAACGTTTCAACAGTTTAGGCCGTTGTCAGAAAAAGAAAGGTGCTTAAAATCTTAATGTACATCTAGTGATGTTTCTACTCTGGTTAAGCTGTTCTGTTCCTGGAATATATTAGAACATTTACGATAAAGGAGGCTTAGAATATAACGGAACAGAACAACTGAAGAGCGGAATTGAACAGAATAGAACACTTTGCCAAAAGTGTGGAATAGAAATATCACTGTGCACATCATTAGAGAAGATTCTATTCAAATAATAGGAATTGAACATCTGAACTTGTATGAACAAAATTTGCAGTAAAATACGCAAGAAGATATTTTGCATATTCGATTATGTGCTCTTTATGGTTCTGTCGGTATTTGTTCGTTTTGATCGCTCAAAACACATAGTCATCTTCTGTATATATCCATACAAATTTATTTTTGTTCCGCACGTTGTATATACTATGGTACGTTATCATGATATTGAGCAACCGACATGTTCGATTACTCATTCGCACTGCCATGGAGTTTGGTATTTGAAAAATTTCAATGTCATTTAATCCCTCGAGAACATGTCACATACTGTCATCTAGTCCTTATCAATGTTGTCACCAACATAACTTCGTCTTTTTCAGTTGTCATACTTTTTTTCATGCTCCTCTCATTGCTCAATCAAGATCAACTGTCATCAAATTGTCGTGCATTCTCAAGAGCTAAGAAATGTGTTTTAATGAGGAAGTGAATCAATTTATGCGGCAGTCACTATAAGTCACGACGTTGTCTTTAGTACTCCAGAGTGCATTAGTTCTATCCGATGCAATAGTCAGCTGAAGTATATTTTTTCAACTGTATCGCGTTGGAACCGTTATAAACATCGTTCGAACATCATTCTTCTTTGGAACACCATTTCTGTTGTCACTTATCAACCGCATTCGGAAATAACCATTCATTATCGATTCGCGCTGACATGATGTATCATCTCCATAAATACTCAATCGACCAATGAACTTGACAGTTCGTCATTCAAAAGATTATCATGCAGTGGATAGAGGCCTGGCGAGTGGGATTATCCATCGACAAATGCTGCATTCTCAATAGGGTAAAACATAATGAGAAAAAATTTATGGCATGGGGAATAAGGTTTTAAAACTTGCAGATGGTCTGAAGATTCATCATTTGCAAAGTAAATTGCTCATATTATGACACATGAAACAACCTTATTTTCCGAATATTAAGCACAGAAAACCCGCTCAGACTATAAAAATCAAACAACACTTTGGGTCGTCCTTGAGTGTTCTTCCGTAATATACTCCTCCACTGATGTAAATAATGTAAATATTTTTAAAACGTTCGATGATCTTGATCCAGGAATGTCTATTTTCATTGCTGTTTTACACCATGCAATTGTGTAAGTTATATTGGAAAACTCAATGCTGTATTATTAGAACTGAAAGGTCTTCACTTTATTCACCTTGACATGAGAATGTCATAAACTGATATCTCAAAACGATATTAAAAATTAATCAAGGTTATGCGTAAAATTGTTCAAAAGAACTCTTGAAAACTGATATAAAAACTGATGGACGCTCAGTCATCCAAGGGGACATCCACATCATTTAAGAGTTTACCAGTTCCCATGAATTTGTTTTTTATTGATTGGTTCAGAAAAAACGAAATTGATCAGAATTGAAAAGAGCAATCCTAATAACCTCCTTAACATCCACATTCAAGAATAAGCTCCGTCCTCATTCATCCAAGACCATGGCGTCATAAACGACCGAAGTTTGGAATGCATCATCATGTTTCCAGTGTAGTTAAAATAGTAAACGCCAGGGCATCATTCGTATTGAGAATGTCCTACTAAGCAAAATACCTAACCTTATCCCTATTAAGCAAATTGCCTAACCTAAATTCACCCATCCTAGAGCACATCCCTTCCTCTTGGTCTATCCGCGATCGATCCGGTAACAAAGGCTTAAATTTAACCTGAAGCGTTGTTGTATTTCTTGTTTCTTATCGCAAACAGTGACATATTGCTTTCTCTAAGAAAATAGATTTGATGATAAATTCTCAAAATTCCTTATGTTGTGAAAGAAATAATGAAGCGAAAAACAAAGTGATCTTCGAAATGCGTTCGTTTGAAGTGACGAAGGAAATTTTCACTTCGTACTTTCTTCTTTGTACTTCCAGAACTCGACTGAGAAAATCCCACCGACAGGTGTTGAAAATGATCGAACCTTGTCTGCTTTTTCTTTTTTTTTAGAACTGAGAACTCGGATGATTGATACAACAATAAGCACTGTGACCTTTGATAGAGCATATTTCAAGTTTTCCTGGAATGTATTGCTAGAAGGATAAGGAACAAAGGTTGGAAAAAAGAAGGAAAAAATGAAATTCTGTTCACCACTGAATCAATAAAATCGGAACGATTAAAACTAGATGGGTAAACTAGCTTTCTCTTTCGATTTCTTTCCCTCCCG